AACCGTGATGGCGAGATCATGGAACGGGCAGTCCTTCCCCGGGAGGAAGAGCAGCTCCGTCTTGCCAGGGTTCAGCTTGAGGTGGTGATCCGTCATCCATACTGATATGTCTGCCAGACATGCAGAGATGCGATTCGCCACCTGGTTATCAGAAGGGGGAAAGGAGAAGATTAGTTGTGTATCGTCAGCGTAGCAATGATAGGAGAGACCATGTGAGGATATGACAGAGCCAAGTGACTTGGTGTATAGGGAGAAAAGGAGAGGGCCCAGAACCGATCCCTGGGGGACACCAGTGGTGAGAGCACGTGGTGCGGAGACAGCTTCCCGCCACGCCACTTGGTAGGAGCGACCGGTCAGGTAGGACGCAATCCAGGAGTGAGCCGCGCCGGAGATGCCCATCTCGGAGAGGGTGGAGAGGAGGATCTGATGGTTCACAGTATCAAAGGCAGCAGACAGGTCTAGAAGGACAAGAGCAGAGGAGAGAGAGTTAGCTTTAGCAGTGCGGAGAGTCTCCGTGACACAGAGAAGAGCAGTCTCAGTTGAATGACCAGTCCTGAAACCTGATTGGTTTGGCTCAAGAAGGTCATTCTGAGAGAGATAGCAAGAGAGTTGGCTAAAGACGGCACGCTCAATAGTTTTGGAAAGAAAAGAAAGAAGGGATACTGGTCTGTAGTTGTTGACATCAGTGGGGTCGAGTGTTGGTTTTTTGAGAAGGGGAGCAACTCTCGCTCTCTTGAAGACGGAAGGGACATGGCCAGCGGTCAAGGATGAGTTGATCAGCGAGGTGAGGTAGGGGAGAAGGTCACCGGAGATGGTCTGGAGAAGGGAGGAGGGGATGGGGTCAAGCGGGCAGGTTGTTGGGCGGCCTGCAGTCACAAGTCGCAGGATTTTATCTGGAGAGAGAGGGGAGAAAGAAGTCAAAGCATAGGGTAGGGCAGTGTGAGCAGGACCAGCAGTGTTATTAGACTTAACAAACGAGGATCGGATGTCGTCAACCTTCTTTTCAAAGTGGTTGACGAAGTCATCCACAGAGAGAGAGGAGGGGGAGGGGGGGGGGGAGGAGGATTCAGGAGGGAGGAAAATGTGGCAAAGAGCTTCCTAGGGTTAGAGGCAGATGCTTGGAATTTAGAGTGGTAGAAAGTGGCCTTAGCAGCAGAAACAGATGAAGAAAATGTAGAGAGGAGGGAGTGAAAAGATGCCAGGTCGGTAGGGAGTTTAGTTTTCTTCCATTTCCGCTCCGCTGCCCGGAGCTCTGTTCTGTGAGCTCGCAGTGAGTCATCAAGCCACGGAGCTGGAGGGGAGGACCGAGCCGGCCGGGAGGATAGGGGACACAGAGAGTCAAAGGATGCAGAAAGGGAGGAGAGGAGGGTTGAGGAGGCAGAATCAGGAGATTGGAGGGAGAAGGATTGAGCAGAGGGAAGAGATGATAGGATGGAAGAGGAGAGAGTAGTGGGAGAGAGAGAGCGAAGGTTGCGGCGGCGCATTACCATCTGTGTAGGGGCAGAGTGAGTAGTGTGGGAGGAGAGCGAGAGAGAAAAGGAAACAAAGTAGTGGTCGGAGACTTGGAGGGGAGTTGCAGTGAGATTAGTAGAGGAGCAGCATCTAGTGAAGATGAGGTCAAGCGTATTGCCTGCCTTGTGAGTAGGGGGGGACGGTGAGAGGGTGAGGTCAAAAGAGGAGAGGAGTGGAAAGAAGGAGGCAGAGAGAAATGAGTCAAACGTGGACATAGGGAGGTTGAAATCCCCCAAAACTGTGAGGGGTGAGCCATCCTCAGGAAAGGAACTTATCAAGGCGTCAAGCTCGTTGATGAACTCTCCAAGGGAACCTGGAGGGCGATAGATGACAAGGATATTAAGCTTAAATGGGCTAGTGACTGTGACAGCATGGAATTCAAATGAGGAGATAGACAGATGGGTTAGGGGAAAAATTGAGAATGTCCACTTGGGAGAGATGAGGATTCCTGTACCACCACCCCTCTGACCAGATGCTCTCGGGGTATGCGAGAACACATGGTCAGACGAGGAGAGAGCAGTAGGAGTAGCCGTGTTTTCAGTGGTGATCCATGTTTCCGTCAGCGCCAGGAAGTCGAGGGACTGGAGGTTGGCATAGGCTGGGATGAAGTCAGCTTTGTTGGCAGCAGAACGGCAGTTCCAGAGGCTGCCTGCGACCTGGAACTCCAGGTGAGGGGTGCGTGCAGGGACCACCAGGTTAGAGAGGCAGCAGCCGCGCGGTGTGGTGCGTTGTTTGTGTAGCCTGTGCAGAGAGGAGAGAACAGGGATAGGCAGAGGCATAGTTGACAGGCTGTAGCAAATGGCTACAAAAATGCAGAGGAGATCGGAATGAAATGAGCTAAGCATCTTGGAGAGGAGAGAGGGGGGCCTCCCTCACCAAAAACTTCTACCTCAGAAACTAAAATTGTTTCACTGAACCACCCGAACAAAAACTCTCCCAACTTCCACCTTTAGAAATCAGAATTGTTGTGAACCACAGTTGTTCAATGTTTAAAGGAATAGACTCAACCCACTTTATTCAGCTAGCCAACTATGACACCATAGCTGACTAGCATGCTAGCATCCAATAACACACAGTTTAACACACAGTTAAGCACCAATACTCACAACAAACCACCAATAGTGTGTTAACTAGCTAACTAGCATGCTAGCATCCAGTAACACACAGTTTAGCACAAACACTTGGTCACAGCAAACCACCAATAGTGTGATAACACACTAAACAGATCATTCGTGTCTGTGTCAAGTTCCTTTCATGACGCAGCAATGATTCAACGTTGGCTAGCTAGGACAAGTATATTGTAATTAGCTACTACCGTACCGTTCGCTGGTCGTGTAGCTAGCAATGGCCACTGTGTTGGCTTTGTTTGAAGAACGGCTAGCTAGCTAGCTTCGTGCTACACCCGGCACACAATGGCTACTGTGTTGACTCTGACTCTGTTCGAAAAAAAAAACGGCTAATTAGCTCGCTTCGTGCTACAGCCGGCACGGCGGAAGACACTGCCAAGACACAGTAGCTACCCACGATACCTAGCTATGACGCCGTAGCTAACTAGCAAGCTAGCATCCATTAACACACAATTTAGCACCAATACTTGGTTACAACAAACTGCCAAGAGTGTGTTAGCACACTAAACAGATAATTCATGTCCGTGTCTAGTTCCTTACATAACGCAGAACGCAGCAAAAATTAAACGTTGGCTAGCAGCACATTTAACAGTGGGAACAGCTAATCGTTACCAGTAGCTACCCGCTAGCTAGCTAGCCTCGTGCTTCGATACTAACCTACAATTACCTACGGAAACCTACAATAACAACAAAACTAGCCTATGATAAATACAATGCCTAACTACAACTAACTACCAACCTACGATCTAATACATGGTTAAGCTTTACTCAACACCATATGGGAAGCTCTCCACCGTTGCTAATCGTTGCTAATCGTTACCAGTAGCTACCCGCTAGCTAGCTAGCCTCGTGCTTTGAAGAACAGAGTGGCCTCCATCCTTGGGAAATGGAAAAAATATGGAACTACCCAGACTGGCTATAGCTGGCCGTCCTACCAAATTGAGCAACCAGGCAAGAAGGACCTTGGTCAGGGAGGTGACAAAGAACCCAATGACCACTCTGACAGAACTACAGAGTTCCTTGGCTGAGATGGGAGAACCTGCCAGAAGGACAACAATCTCTACAGCAATTCACAAATCTGGGCTTTATGGGAGAGTGGCCAGACGGAAGCCACTCCTGAGAAAAAGGCATGACAGCACGCCTGGAGTTTGCAAACAGGCACGTGAATGACTCTGAGAGCATAAGACTAAAGATTTGGGGGTTCTATGAGACAAAAATGTAACTCTTTGGCCTGAATGTCATGATATGTGGACGCTTTTCAGCGGCAGGGACTGGGAGACTGGTAAGGGTAGAGGGAACAATGAATCGAGCCAAATACAGGCAAATCCTTGATGAGAACCTGCTTTAGAGTGCAAACGACCTTAGACTGGGGTGAATATTTAAATTCCAACAGGACAATGGCTCAAAGCATACAGCCAAAGCAACGCAGGAATGGTTTCAGAACAATAATATGAAAGTCCTTGAGTGGCCCAGCCAAAGCCCAGACTTGAATCCCAATGAAAATTTGTGGAAAGACTTGAAGATTGCTGTTCACCGCTGCTACCCATCTAACTTAACAGAGCTTGAGAAAATCTGTAAGGGAGAACGGGAGAAAATCCCCAAATCCTGATGTGCAAAGCTGTTACAGACATACCCAAGATGACTCAAAGCTGTAATCGCCACCAAAGGTACTTCTACAAAGTATTGACTCGGGTTTAAATACTTATGTAAATTAGATTTCTATATTTCATTTTGAATAAATGTGAAAACATTTCTAAATATGTTTGCACTTTGTCATTATGGGATATTGTGTGTAGATGGGTGAGGGGAAAAACAATTTAATCCATTTTGAATTCAGGCTGTAACACAACAAAATATTGAATAAGTCAAGGGGTATAAATACTTGTACAGGCACTGTACATGGGACATTATTTTAAAATGTCAATAGCTCCAAATTTCAATGACTTAAAAACAACTATAAATTGTAAAAATTCATATACAAATATTGAAAGCATTTAATGAGACAACTAAAAGATGTGCAACATGAAAATACTGTCTCATTTACATTGTGTAATATATTTCCTTCTGTGATAATTTAAAGAATAAATATTGCATTTGTTTGAGTGTCATGCTGAGAACATAACAATAGTGCGTATTGAGCGGAACATAATGTAATCTCCTCAAACTCACATGCACACATGTATACAGTACATACAAACCTTATAACCACCATTAAACTGATAGAATTTAACCAGAGAAAGGGAATGTATCATGCTGATTGTATAATGTGCATTGATTAATGCCTAAACAGCAAATATCATATGGACTACACTAGTCACTCCTACTTGACTATCCTTTTTCCATAGACGTGGAGAAGGAAAATCAATGGATAAAGTCTTGAGGCTCAGTCTCATCATTCTCCTCTGGTTCATTGCTCCTTGCAGTGGGGCCTTTGGCAGCACACTCTGCCCTCCTAGTGAAGGGGTGGCCTGGCTGGCCCAGTGTCTGACGTGGGGGCTGCTTGCTGTGTGAGATGTGGCTGTGGCCCATACTCTGGGCAGGGGCACCATCTTGTCTCTGGGCAACCATTGCTTGCTGTCCCCTGTACAGATCACAGGATGCCACCAGAGGCTTCCCTATATCCAGCTGTTTGCTCTCTTGCAGCCGCAGCTTTCTGTCCATGTGGGTATAGTGTAGGTCCACCTTTATCACTAAGGATCCCTTTACAACAGGGAGAGAAAAAAAGAACAGAAAACAGATTTTATAGTTTACCATTGAATAATGCTAGATAACAGTATGTATACATTTCTAGACATATTATTGCTTATTGCAAATGTTAAATATGGGGTCCCAGACATAGTTAACCTACCTGAAGCTTTTGAAGGCCACAAATTCTGAGGCTACAGTCAGGGTTTTCAGCAACCGAGTTATTTAGCAACAGAGAGTCCATTTCACCTGACCTCCCAGGACCAGAAAATATATCCTCCATTGCCTAAACACAGAGGTCAGGAATAAGATACATCAGGCAACTACAGCAAAACCTGTCATACCCACTTGTTATTTTACATAGTGCATAACAAGTGGTAGACTCTACGGGAGAGTGAGTAGGGAGAACATAATGCATTGAACCACTAGATGTCAGTATGCTCCAATGAATTATTACTTCACAGAAGCAGAAACCTGAAAAGCGGTTGTGCCAAAATTTCCTGCTCTTGTTTCTCACTTCAGCCATTTATAATAGCAAGGATCTCTATATATGGGCATATATTTCTTGTGTAAGGGAAATATTGTTAAATGACTGATAGCCCCTTTAGTTGTTACTGCTGTTATGAAGGCAGACTATGAAAACTATGAAAATAACTGTGCTGTTCATAAGATACAGTGCATTCGGAAAGTATTCAGACCCCTTTACTTTTTCCACATTTTGTTACGTTACAGCCTATTCTAAAATGAATTAAATTATTTTTTTTACTCATCAATCTACACACAATACCCCATAATGACAAAGTGAAAACAGGCATTTTTGCAAATGTATTAAACAGAAAAAACAGAAATACCTTATTTACATAAGTATTCAGACCCTTTGCTATGAGACTCGAAATTGAGCTCAGGTGCATCCTGTTTCCATTGATCATCCTTAAGATGATTCTACAACTTGATTGGAGTCACCTGTGGTAAATTGAATTGATTGGACATGATTTGGAAAGGCATACACCTGTCTATATAAGGTCCCACAGTTGACAGTGCATGTCAGAGTAAAAACCAAGCCATGAGGTCGAAGGAATTGTCCGTAGTGCTCCGAGACAGGATTGTGTCAAGGCACAGATCTGGAGAAGGGTACCAAAAAATGTCTGCAGCATTGAAGGTCCGCAGGAACACAGTGGCCTCCATCATTCTTAAATGGAAGAAGTTTGGAACCACCAAGACTCTTCATAGAGCTGGCCACCCAGCCAAACTGAGCAATCGGGGGAGAAGGGCCTTGGTCAGGGAGGTGACCAAGAACCCGATGGTCACTCTGACAGAGCTCCAGAGTTCCTCTGTGGAGATGGGAGAACCTTCCAGAAGGACAATCATCTCTGCAGCACTCCACCAATCAGGCCTTTATGGTAGAGTGGCCAGACAGAAGCAACTCCTCAGTAAAAGGCAGATTACAGCCTGCCTGGAGTTTGCCAAAAGGCACATAAAGCAAAGTATAGAGAGATCCTTGATGAAAACCTGCTCCAGAACACTCAGGACCTCAGACTGGGGCGAAGGTTCACCTTCCAACAGGACAACGACCCTAAGCACACAGCCAAGACAACACAGGAGTGGCTTCGGGACAAGTCTCTGAATGTCCTTGAGTGGCCCAGCCAGAGCCCGGACTTGAACCCGATCAAACATCTCTGGAGAGACCTGAAAATAGCTGTGCAGCAACGCTCCTCATCCAACCTGACAGAGCTTGAGAAGATCTGCAGAGAAGAATGGGAGGAACTCCTCAAATACAGGTATGCCAAGCTTGTAGCGTCATACCCAAGAAGACTTGAGGCTGTAATCGCTGCTAAAGGTGCTTCAAAAGTACTAAGTAAAGGGTCTGAATACTTACGTAAATGTTATATTTCAGTTTTTAATTTTTCATAAATTTGCAAAACATTCTAAAAACCTGTTTTTGCTTTGTCATTATGAGGTATTGTATGTAGATTGATGAGGGGGAAAAAAACAATTTAATACATTTTAGAATAAGGCTGTAACGTAACAACATCTGGGAAAAGTAAACGGGTCTGAATACTTTCCGAATACACTGTATGCCTCAGTGGAGGCTCCTCAGAGGAGGAAGGGGAGGGCCATCCTCCTCAGTGAATTTAATAAAAATAGTGAAACATTAAAAAAGTTATTATTTTTAGATAAAACTATACTTAATATAAATATGTCACCAAATAATTTATTAAAACACACTGTTTTGCAATGAAAGTCTACAGTAGCTCCACAGCACTCTGAAGGGTAGCACCATGGTGTAGCCGGAGGACAGCTAGTTTCCGTCCTCCTCTGGGTACATTGACTTCAATATAAAACCTTGGAGGCTCATGGTTCTCACCCCCTTCCATAGACTTATACAGTAATTATTACAACTTCTGGAGGACGTCCTCCAACCTATCAGAGCCCTTGCTGCATGAACTGGCATGTTGTCCACCCAATCAAAGGATCAGAGAATGAATCCAGTCCTGAAAGAATAAGCTACTGCTAGCTAGCACTGCAGGGCATAAAATGTAGTGAGTAGTTGACTCAAAGAGCGAGAAAGACAATAGTTGAACAGTTTTTAACAAATTCATTTCTTTAGAAATGAAGGAGGCGCAAGAGAGAGATAGACAGCTAGCTATACTTTGTTGTATTTAAAAAAAAAACGTTCACTTTGCTAGCGAATGCAGCTAGCTAGTTTAGCCTACTCAAACACCCGGCTCAAACAGAGAGGGATGCTATGTTAGCTAGCGGGCTATGGCTATCCAACATTGGAACTCTTCCAAGTCAAGGTAAGCTTTTGGTTGTATTAATTTATTGCCACAGGGGCCCGCCGGTGTAACTGCTAAACTGCTTGTTGACTGTACTGCATGATTGTAGTGGGTTTAGTAATGCGTTGGTGCTGACTATGACGTTAGCTAATATGGTGACAACGATGTAGGCTGTGTGTAGCAATTAGCGGTTATGATATGAAGGTTGGGCTTGGAACGTTTTTTTCACTTGGTCACAGACAGCTGATATTTGCACTGAAGTCCACAAGCAAAGGGAAAAGGTGAGAAGAGGAGAGAGCGTAGATGCGAGAAGGAATTATACAATGGTCAAATTGATCATGCTGTTTGTATGTGGCTGCTATGAAAGTGAACTATGTTTGCGTGTGATCAGGGGTGTATTCATTCCGCCGATTCTGTTGAAAAACTTTTCTTAAACGAAACCAAACGGGGATAAACATACCTGAATTTGTCCAATAGAAACTCTCGTTTGCAACTGTTAGACTAATGATTACACCCTAGATCAGCTAGATGCAGGCAAGAGTGTGCAAGGCGGTATTTAATGTCTGTCACCTTGATTACTCTCATTTTTCTCTCGACCTGTGCACCTACGTTATAAACTTTTATTCATAAGCTAAGTTGTAGCAACCTCATGAAGGGTATAGGGAAAATTTTAGTATAATGTAGTAGCTAAACCTATCGGTGTTACATTGAGCTGCGTAAATGGAATATGAATGACAGTCATCCAATATGCTGTAATAGAAATAAGGCCATGCTCATAAAACATTTTTTGTCCTCCCTCATCTTAAATGAAACCGACCACCACTGCCGCGAGTGTACAGAGGAAAGAGGAGATGATTACATGTGCACTCTTGACAGCCTTTGTACCTTCATGTACTGTACATACAGTGGGGAAAAAAGGATTTAGTCAGCCACCAATTGTGCAAGTTCTCCCACTTAAAAAGATGAGAGAGGCCTGTAATTTTCATCATAGGTACACGTCAACTATGACAGACAAAATGAGAAATAAAAATCCAGAAAATCACATTGTAGGATTTTTTATGAATTTATTTGCAAATTATGGTGGAAAATAAGTATTTGGTCAATAACAAAAGTTTCTCAATACTTTGTTATACACCCTTTGTTGGCAATGACACAGGTCAAACGTTTTCTGTAAGTCTTCACAAGGTTTTCACACACTGTTGCTGGTATTTTGGCCCATTCCTCCATGCAGATCTCCTCTAGAGCAGTGATGTTTTGGGGCTGTCGCTGGGCAACACAGACTTTCAACTCCCTCCAAAGATTTTCTATGGGGTTGAGATCTGGAGACTGGCTAGGCCACTCCAGGACCTTGAAATGCTTCTTACGAAGCCACTCCTTCGTTGCCCGGCGGTGTGTTTGGGATCATTGTCATGCTGAAAGACCCAGCCACGTTTCATCTTCAATGCCCTTGCTGATGGAAGGAGGTTTTCACTCAAAATCTTACGATACATGGCCCCATTCATTCTTTCCTTTACACGGATCAGTCGTCCTGGTCCCTTTGCAGAAAAACAGCCCCAAAGCATGATGTTTCCACCCCCATGCTTCACAGTAGGTATGGTGTTCTTTGGATGCAACTCAGCATTCTTTGTCCTCCAAACACGACGAGTTGAGTTTTTACCAAAAAGTTATATTTTGGTTTAATCTGACCATATGACATTCTCCCAATCCTCTTCTGGATCATCCAAATGCACTCTAGCAAACTTCAGATGGGCCTGGACATGTACTGGCTTAAGCAGGGGGACACGTCTTGCACTGCAGGATTTGAGTCCCTGGCGGCGTAGAGTGTTACTGATGGTAGGCTTTGTTACTTTGGTCCCAGCTCTGCAGGTCATTCACTAGGTCCCCCCGTGTGGTTCTGGGATTTTTGCTCACCGTTCTTGTGATCATTTTGAGCCCACGGGGTGAGATCTTGCGTGGAGCCCCAGATCGAGGGAGATTATCAGTGGTCTTGTATGTCTTCCATTTCCTAATAATTGCTCCCACAGTTGATTTCTTCAAACCAAGCTGCTTACCTATTGCAGATTCAGTCTTCCCAGCCTGGTGCAGGTCTACAATTTTGTTTCTGGTGTCCTTTGACAGCTCTTTGGTCTTGGCCATAGTGGAGTTTGGAGTGTGACTGTTTGAGGTTGTGGACAGGTGTCTTTTATACTGATAACAAGTTCAAACAGGTGCCATTAATACAGGTAACGAGTGGAGGACAGAGGAGCCTCTTAAAGAAGAAGTTACAGGTCTGTGAGAGCCAGAAATCGTCCTTGTTTGTAGGTGACCAAATACTTATTTTCCACCATAATTTGCAAATAAATTCATTAAAAATCCTACAATGTGATTTTCTGGAAAGAAAATTCTCAATTTGTCTGTCATAGTTGACGTGTACATATGATGAAAATTACAGGCCTCTCTCATCTTTTTAAGTGGGAGAACTTGCACAATTGGTGGCTAACTAAATACTTTTTTCCCCCACTGTATATAATATTGTTTTATGAGCAATAAACTTTCACAATTACAAAGAGTAATGCCATGTCAGGTTCAGATACATATCTATACAACAGTTTTAGCCTTGAGATGTGACCACAACAGGAAATAGTTCATACACCTTGTGCAGAACCCACTCTTAGAACCTTCTAAAGTTTAGCACCTAAACACATTTTCTTAACCTTCAGTTTTCAGTTTTGTTATCAGGGTTACATACATTTCTCAGGTCTCACAAGGAGTTAAAAAGTAATTTCACTCAAATATTTATCTGTAGTGTCATGTGAAGTCATGCAACTAAATCAAACTGCTTATTAATAAGGGCTATTTGTACACCAAGTCCTGCCCTCTAGGTAGTGTGGCAGGTAGCGGCAAGTATGAGTCAAGATGTCACTCACAGGTGTGCTCCTCAGAGTAACAGTGCAGTCCTGGGCTCTGGGGCCAGTGGTTTTCACTGTGCCAAAAGCAACCATGACGTTGGAGAACAAGGCTGAGAAGCTGACCTCCACCTCAACTCCACAGGTGAAAATAAGCAACTTCTGACGTGGTAGGTCTGTGTGGGAGGACATCACAAAAAAGACAGTTTTAAGATACAGATTCTACACAACAAAGCATCTCTAAAATGCAGACTAGATAGATGTGATAAGAAAGTTAGGCAGCCATGTTAAGAAATGTTGCTTTTAAAAGGTCGTCATCTTGTCCTTGAAGAAGTTTATAGTAGCAGTTACTATTTTTTTCCATTTAATCTGAGCCAGAAATATATATGGGGATTCTGTGGAGCTTCAGTGACGACAACATTCTATTTGAAGAAAGAATACAAGAGAAGTATGTTTTTATGTGACTGGGAAAAAAAAAAAAAGTATATTCCCTTCTGTTATACAGACAACTGGTACACTGTTAGTGAAATAAGCTTATGGCTGACTTTAAAAATATACAAACAAGTTCCCTTTCTGCTATCACCACCAATAAACAAGAACTCCTTGAATGGTGGTGTGATGGTCATGATTCATGCTAAACCACACTGTTTGTACATCGTAACAGTCACAACCATGTCACATACAGAACTGAAAAGGAGTGTAGAGAGGGGTGAACATATTGCTTTTTCCTCTTGTTAAGACTAGCTTAGGGCAAGAAACTGACTTAACAGTTACACTATTTCATAGCAAAAGATACACCATGGCTAAAGCATCTGAAATAAAAACAGCACTTGACATACACACAATAATTTATCAATAGTGTCTTTGGATTTCAATTGTGAAAAATGGGGTAAAGATCATGTCTGTATTGGGGATATTATGGTGTGTTAAAGCTTACCGTTGGCCTGTCTCCAGCAGGCGTCTCTCAGGCGTAGTTCTCCAGTGTGGCCGGTGGTCCTGACCGGATCTGTGAGGGAGCGAGGCTCCTTCAGCGTGTGTTTGATTTCCACTGCCTGCTTGCCTGTGACGAAAGGGTCTCTGCCCAGATCTGAGGAACAGGTTAAAGGTTAGCCTATGCTGCCGAGGTAACAGCTGTTCTTAAGGAGGGTTTAATGGTAGGACTGAAATTAAAATAATAATACTATTTGACTGATGTAAAGGCTCCTAAAATACAAACATGTGGATAATAAAAGTGAACTTAAAGAAATGTTTAGGAAACAGGCATGTACAGTTGAAGTCAGAAGTTTACATACACCTTAGCCAAATACATTTAAACTCAGTTTTTCACAATTCCTGACATTTAATCCTAGTAAAACTTCCCTGTCTTAGGTCAGTTAGGATCACCACTTTATTTTAAGAATGTGAAATGTCAGAATAATAGTAGAGAGAATGATTTATTTAAGCTTTTATTTATTTCATCACGTTCCCAGTGGGTCAGAAGTTTACATACAATCAATTAGTATTTGGTAGCATTGCCTTTAAATTGTTTACCTTGGGTCAAATGTTTCAGGTAGCCTTCCACAAGCTTCCCACAATAAGTTGGGTGAATTTTGGCCCATTACTCCTGACAGAGCTGGTGTAACTGAGTCAGGTTTGTAGCCCTCCTTGCTCGCACACACTTTTTCAGTTCTGCCCACAAATGTTCTATAGGATTCAGGTCAGGGCTTTGTGATGGCCACTCCAATACCTTGACTTTGTTGTCCTTAAGCCATTTTGCCACAACTTTGGAAGTATGCTTGGGGTCATTGTCCATTTGGAAGACCCATTTGCGACCAAGCTTTAACTTCCTGACTGATGTCTTGAGATGTTGCTTCAATATATCCACATAATTTTCCTTCCTCATGATGCCATCTATTTTGCGAAGTGCACCAGTCCCTCCTGCAGCAAAGCACCCTCACAGCATGATCCTGCCACCCCTGTGCTTCACGGTTGGGACGGTGTTCTTCGGCTTGCAAGCAACCCCCTTTTTCCTCCAAACATGACAATGGTCATTATGGCCAAACAGTTATATTATTGTTTCATCAGACCAGAGGACATTTCTCCAAAAAGTACTATCTTTGTTCCCATGTGCAGTTGCAAACCATAGTCTGGCTTTCTTATGGCGGTTTTGGAGCAGTGGCTTCTTCCTTGCTGATATAGGACTAGTTTTACTGTGGAAATAGATACTTTTGTACCCATTTCCTCCAGCATCTTCACAAGGTCCTTTGCTGTTGTTCTGGGATTGATTAGCACTTTTCGCACCAAAGTACGTTAATCTCTAGGAGACAGAACGCGTCTCCTTCCTGAGCGGTATGACGGTTGCGTGGTCCCATGGTGTTTATACTTGCGTACTATTGTTTGTACAGATGAACGTGGTACCTTCAGGCGTTTGGAAATTGCTCACAAGGATGAACCAGACTTGTGGAGGTCTACAATTTTTTTGCGGAGGTCTTGGCTGATTTCTTTGGATTTTCCCATGATGTCAAGCAAAGAGGCACTGAGTTTCAAGGTAGGCCTTGAAATACATCCACAGGTACACCTCCAATTGACTCAAATGATGTCAACTAGCTTATCAGAAGCTTCTAAAGCCATGACATCATTTTCTGGAATTTTCCAAGCTGTTTAAAGGCACAGTCAACTTAGTGTATGTAAACTTCTGACCCACTGGCATTGTGATACAGTGAATTATAAGTGAAATAATCTGTCTGTAAACAATTGTTGGAAAAATTACTTGTGTCATGCACAAGTAGATGTCCTAAACGACTTGCCAAAACTATAGTTTGTTAACAAGACATTTGTGGAGTGGTTGAAAAACAAGTTTTAAAAACAAGTTTTTGAAAAACAAGTGGTTTGTGCTGTGGTGGAGACCTCTGTGGGCTATACTCGGCCTTGTCTCAGGATTGTAAGTTGGTGGTTGAGGATATCCCTCTAGTGGTGCGGGGGCTGTGCTTTGGCAGAGTGGGTGGGGTTATATCCTTCCTGTTTGGCCCTGTCCGGGGGTTTCTTCGGATGGGGCCACAGTGTCTCCGGACCGCTCCTGTCTCAGCCTCCAGTATTTATGCTGCAGTAGTTTATGTGTCGGGGGGCTGGGGTTAGTTGGTTATACCTGGAGTACTTCTCCTGTCTTATCCAGTGTCCTGTGTGAATTTAAGTATGCTCTCTCTAATTCTCTCGTTCTCTCTTTCTCTCTGAGAACCTGAGCCCTAGGACCATACGTCAGGACTACCGGGCATGATGACACCTTGCTGTCCCCAGTCCGCCTGGCCTTGCTGCTATTCCAGTTTCAACTGTTCTGCCTGCGGTTACGAAACCCCTACCTTTCCCAGACCTGCTGTTTTCAACTCTTAATGATCGGCTATGAAAAGCCAACTGAGAGACCTGAGCCCTAGGACCATACGTCGGGACTACCGGCCGTGGTGACTCCTTGCTGACCCCAGTCCGCCTGGCCTTGCTGCTATTCCAGTTTCAACTGTTCTGCCTGCGGTTATGGAACCCCTACCTGTCCCAGACCTGCTGTTTTCAACTCTTAATGATCGGCTATGAAAAGCCAACTGAGATTTATTCCTGATTATTATTTGACCATGCTTGTCACTTATGAACATTTTTGAACATCTTGGCATGGTTCTGTTATAATCTCCACCCGGCACAGCCAGAAGAGGACTGGCCACCCCTCATAGCCTGGTTCCTCTCTAGGTTTCTTCCTAGGTTTTGGCCTTTCTAGGGAGTTTTTCTTAGCCACCGTGCTTCTACACCTGCATTACTAGCTGTTTGGGGTTTTAGGCTGGGTTTCTGTACAGCACTTCGAGATATTAGCTGATGTAAGAAGGGCTATATAAAATAAAATTGATTGATTGATTTTAATGACTCCAACCTAAGTGTATGTAAACTTCCGACTTCAACTGTATAAGGCATTGTTGGCCAGATCAGAAACTGATACACTGAAACCCTATGCAGGTGTCTGGATACAGGCTTACTCTTTTTTTATGTTATTTTTTTATTATGATTATTTTTTTAAAAATTGGGGGGGGGGGGGGGGGGGGTGGATCAGCTTAATATTGCAGATAGATTGTATCTTCTATCAATGTAATTGTCTGCATCACTTCCAATCCCCCATGTTTAAAAAAATATATATATACTCCCCTTTATTACTTTTCAACCCCACCATCCTTTCCCTACTTGGAGTAAATTAGTGAACAACAATGCCCAGGCCTCTACTTCCGTTCTATCCTTACTATCTACACCTTATGGACAGAGCTAATTTTACAATAATTCTATTATATATATATATATATTTTTTTTGCTCCTGAACTTCTTCTACTCTCAACCTCTCCGATCATTTTCATGATGTCCATCCGGTTTGCTTCTATATGCCATATCTTTCTAACTGTGCTCTTTCCCAAAAGCTCCCAACATACAACCTATATACTTATTATGGACACAGTATGCTTACATTATTAGCTATCTTTGTTATTATTTGTTGTTATTTGTTATTAGTCCCATCCTTCAACTCTATTCAATACCTCCCATCTATCTCTTAACACCATCCATATAGGATTTCTATTTGCCATATATATTTAAACCGTACTGTGATGTTTTACAAAAGTTCTGAACCTTTCTATTCTCATTGCTTCTACAGATTGTGAATTAAAAATAAACATTTTTGCTAAAAGTATTATTATATTATTGATTGATTGACTATGACTTTTCAGATCACCCAGTAATGCTATCTGCAAGGTTAGCTCCAGGTAAATATTGCAATCCTTTAGCCATTCCTGGACCTGTGTCCAAAAACAAGCTACAAATGGACAGAACCAAAACAAATGATCTAATGATTTTGTCTCTTCACAGCAGAATCTGCAGAGCTGGGAAGATTGTATCCCCCATATAAATAACATTCTATTGGTAGCAAGAATTTTATATAATAATTTAAATTTAAAGATTCAAATTTTTGAATCCGGTGTCGTTTTGCGTGTCAGTTCATAAACACTATGCCATGGGATCAGTACGTCAAAGATCTCTTCCCAACTATTTTGCAATCTATATGGGACGGCTGTCAATCCTTTGGTCCTTAAGTGAAACTGATATACTTTTTTTATTCATCACAGTTTTCCTTAACCAATTATGTTCTTTAATGCAAGGCCGACAGACAAGTTCCTTACTTTCTCCCCCTTCCACTTTCCTCTTCCACTTTTGCGGTAAGGCTGCATTTATTTGGTTGTAATTTTGGGGTAGAGCAGACATTTCCATATGTTTTTGTTAGCTGCATGTGCGACATAACTCCACCAGTCCTACCGATGATATCATTTATGAAGATTATACCTTTTTTAAACATTCTGTCAAAAAATTAAGTTTTTTTGTCAATTAGTATATTTTAATTTAACCACAATATTTGTTGCATTATTTGTTCTGTTGTTTCTGGAGGATTAAATTGAAATTGCAACCAACTTTCTATGGCTTGTTTTAGAAATAGTGATATTTGGGAGATTATTTCCTTTTCAAATAACTGAAAGTGAGAGGTTGTAATCTGAATAAAGGGAAAAAGGCCTTTCTTGAACATTGGGTGAGACAATCTTACTAATTTGCTTGAGAACCAGTTCGGATTTAAGTATAACTTTTGTATGACTGAAGCTTTTAGTGATAGGTCTAATGCTTTAATATTTAATAATTTCTGTCCTCCGAATTCATATTCATTATATAAATATGCCCTTTTAATTTTGTCTGGCTTGCCGTTCCAAATAAAATTGAATATTTATTTCTCATATAATTTAAAAAACTGTTCGCTAGGCGTAGGCAAGACCATAAGCAAATAGGTAAATATAATATACAGTGGGGAGAACAAGTATTTGATACACTGCCGATTTTGCAGGTTTTCCTACTTACAAAGCATGTAGAGGTCTGTCATTTTTATCATAGGTACACTTCAACTGTGAGAGACGGAATCTAAAACAAAAATCCAGAAAATCACATTGTATGATTTTAAAGTAATTAATTTGCATTTTATTGCATGACATAAGTATTTGATCACCTACCAACCAGTAAGAATTCCGGCTCTCACAGACCTGTTAGTTTTTCTTTAAGCAGCCCTCCTGTTCTCCACTCATTACCTGTATTAACTGCACCTGTTTGAACTTGTTACCTGTATAAAAGACACCTGTCCACACACTCAATCAAACAGACTCCAACCTCTCCACAATGGCCAAAACCAGAGCGCTGTGTAAGGACATCAGGGTTAAAATTGTAGACCTGCACAAGGCTGGGATGGGCTACAGGACAATAGGCAAGCAGCTTGGTGAGAAGGCAACAACTGTTGGCGCAATTATTAGAAAATGGAAGAAGTTCAAGATGACGGTCAATCACCCTCGGTCTGGGGCTCCATGCAAGATCTCACCTCGTGGGGCATCAATGATCATGAGGAAGGTGAGGGATCAGCCCAGAACTACACGGCAGGACCTGGTCAATGACCTGAAGAGAGCTGGGACCATAGTCTCAAAGAAAACCATTAGTAACACACTACGCCGTCATGGATTAAAATCCTGCAGCGCGCGCAAGGTCCCCCTGCTCAAGCCAGCGCATGTCCAGGCCCGTCTGAAGTTTGCCAATGACCATCTGGATGATCCAGAGGAGGAATGGGAGAAGGTCATGTGGTCTGATGAGACAAAAATAGAGCTTTTTGGTCTAAACTCCACTCGCCGTGTTTGGAGGAAGAAGAAGGATGAGTACAACCCCAAGAACACCATCCCAACCGTGAAGCATGGAGGTGGAAAAATCATTCTTTGGGGATGCTTTTCTGCAAAGGGGACAGGACGACTGCACCGTATTGAGGGGAGGATGGATGGGGCCATGTATCGCGAGATCTTGGCCAACAACCTCCTTCCCTCAGTAAGAGCATTGAAGATGGGTCGTGGCTGGGTCTTCCAGCATGACAACGACCCAAAACACACAGCCAGGGCAACTAAGGAGTGGCTCCGTAAGAAGCATCTCAAGGTCCTGGAGTGGCCTAGCCAGTCTCCAGACCTGAACCCAATAGAAAATCTTTGGAGGGAGCTGAAAGTCTGTATTGCCCAGCGACAGCCCCGAAACCTGAAGGATCTGGAGAAGGTCTGTATGGAGGAGTGGGCCAAAATCCCTGCTGCAGTGTGTGCAAACATGGTCAAGACCTACAGGAAACGTATGATCTCTGTAATTGCAAACAAAGGTTTCTGTACCAAATATTAAGTTCTGCTTTTCTGATGTATCAAATACTTATGTCATGCAATAAAATGCAAATTAATTACTTAAAAATCATACAATGTGATTTTCTGGATTTTTGTTTTAGATTCCGTCTCTCACAGTTGAAGTGTACCTATGATAAAAATGACAGACCTCTACATGCTTTGTAAGTAGGAAAACCTGCAAAATCGGCAGTGTATCAAATACTTGTTCTCCCCACTGTATATAATATGCCATTTAGCAGACGCTTTTATCCAAAGCGACTTACAGTCATGTGTGCATACATTTTTACATATGGGTGGTCCCGGGGATCGAAACCACTACCCTGGCATTACAAGCGCCATGCTCTACCAATTGAGCTACAGAGGACCACTAAATGGGGTCATTTAACATTTTACATTTTACATTTTACATTTTTTAGTCATTTAGCAGACGCTCTTATCCAGAGCGACTTACAGGAGCAATTAGGGTTAAGTGCCTTGCTTAAGGGCACATCGACAGATTTTTAACCTAGTCGGCTCGGGGATTAGAACCAGCGACCTTTCGGTTACTGGCACAACGCTCTTACCCACTAAGCTCAGGTATTTTCCTTTCCATGGTAGTAAGATTTTATCTATTTTTGCTAACTTTCCATTAAAATTTATTGAAGTGAGATCATTTATTTCCTTTGGGATATGTATTCCGAGTATATCCACATCACCATCAGACCATTTTATTGGTAAACTACATGGTAATGTAAAAATTGTATTTTTTAGTGATCCGATACGTAATATAGTACATTTGTCATAGGTTAGAAAATGTATCTAGATCCTCTATGAGGCTGTGGAGGGATTCTAGTTGTGGATTTAAAAGAAAACATGAATCATCTGCGTACTATGACACCTTTGTTTTTAAGCCCTGTATTTCTAATCCTCTGATATTATTATTGGATCTGATTTTAATAGCTAACATCTCGATGGCCACAATAAATAGATATGCCGATAGTGGACAACCTTGTTTCACTCCTCTTGACAGTTTAAAACTTTCTGAGAAATAGCCATTATTTACTATTTTACACCTAGGGTTACTATACATGATTTTGACCCATTTTATAAGAGATTCTCCAAAATTGAAATGCTCCAGGCATTTATATATAAACCCCAGTCGAACTTTATCAAATGCCTTTTCGAAGTCTGCTATGAATAGCAGGCCTGGTTTCCCATATTTTCCATAGTGTTCTATTGTTTCCAATACTTGCCTTATATTATCTCCAATGTATCTTCCATGTAAAAAACCTGTCTGATTAGAATGAATAATATCCGACAATACCTTTTTAATTCTATGCGCTATACATTTTGCTAGGATTTTTGCATCACAACACTGAAGTGTAAGGGGCCTCCAATTTTGTAAATGGACTGGATCTTTATATTTTCCACTTGTATCCTGTTTCAGTAATAATGAGATCAGACCTTCTTCTTGAGTGTCAGATAATCTACTATTTACATAGGAGTGGTTAACATTTACATTACATTTACGTCATTTAGCAGACGCTCTTATCCAGAGCGACTTACAAATCGGTGCATTCACCTTATAGCCAGTGGGATTACCACTTTACAATGTTTTTTTTATTATTAATGTTTTTATTTTTTAGTTTTGTTTATTATTTATTTTTATTATTTCGTTTTTGTTTTTTAGTTTTTTTTAATTGTTTTTTTAATTGTTTTTTTTCTTATTATTTGTATTGTTTTTTTTTTGGGGGGGGGGGGGTTGGGGTAAGGGGGGGGGTAGAAGGATTACTTTATCCTATCCCAGGTATTCCTTAAAGAGGTGGGGTTTCAAATGAGTGACTCCGCTGTCCTGGCGTCGTGAGGGAGCTTGTTCCACCATTGGGGTGCCAGAGCAGCGAACAGTTTTGACTGGGCTGAGCGGGAACTATGCTTCCGCAGAGGTAGGGGAGCCAGCAGGCCAGAGGTGGATGAACGCAATGCCCTCGTTTGGGTGTAGGGACTGATCAGAGCCTGAAGGTACGGAGGTGCCGTTCCCCTCACAGCTCCGTAGGCAAGCACCATGGTCTTGTAGCAGATGCGAGCTTCAACTGGAAGCCAGTGGAGTGTGCGGAGGAGCGGTCCTCTTAGTATATCAAAAAAGGTTTGGTATACCTCGACTGGTATGCCATCCAACCCTGGAGTTTTCCCGGACTTAAAGTCTTTAATTGCATCCAGAAGTTCCTCCTCTGTAATTTCACCTTCACATGAGTCTTTCTGTGTGGCTGTTAATTTGACATTATCAATAGAAAAATAATCTCTACAATTAGCTTCAGTTAGAGGAGATGGAGGCGACTGAAAAGAAAACATATGCTTAAAGTACTTTGTTTCTTCCTTCAAAATATCATTTGGTGAATTATGGGTGACTCCGTCAATTGTAACCAGTTTCATTAAGTTATTTTTGGTAGCATTCCTATGTTGAAGATTAAAAAATAATTTTGTGCATATTCCATCCAGTTTGCTTTATTTTTATAATATATTACACTTGATTTTTCTACAGGCTTACTCTTAGCCTTGCAGAGGATCTGGATTCAGTACATATTTTAAGCAAGCTGTCTTCGCCATGTTTCCATTAGAGTTGACTGGACAGCAGTTCATCATCAACTATCTTTCCATGTATAAATAAGCCTAAAACAAGAAGGACATAGATCATGATTCCTCAAAGGTGTTTCTGGGAACGATGTGTTTATTGTTAATAAAATGGTGTCATGATGTGATTGTGATGTGATCTGTGTCACTTCAGTGAATCCTATTTCCTAGACATTAATATAATTGTAACACTTTCAGAAATGTATTTAAGCTGTAACCCTGAAATAAAACCTATTATGAGTAACGGTGCAACTCATCTGAGGAATCTTAACATACAGCAAATATCTCTAATCTAAGCCGTGAGCTTCTGTGCCAAGGTCCAACTGTTACAGGCTATACAGTCCTGTACCACCACCTCCTTGGATGGGCTGTCTTAAGCTATGCAGGATCACTGTCACTGGAGCTAAATGACCACAGGAGAGCAGTGTAGGGACGCACGCACACACACACACACGGCAGAGCAGCTGTCTTTAAACCTACCGCTCTCAGGTTTCCTGCTGTGCTCTGGCCAACAGTGTGAATTTCTAGAGAATGAGGTCACATGCTAATGCAGCTCTGTCGCAAAAAGTCATGTTACCAGAGAGACCCATCAAGCATGCTTACCCCTCCAAGCTCCGCCCACTGGTACCTGCTGCAGGGTAAACACCAGGGGGAGTAGCCAGTGACGGATAAACATTTAGATGTCATCATGTCTGTGCTCCAACAAGTAGACAACAACACGTTGCACACTGACCCTGTTTACAGACACTACTGTACATCTCCTACAGAGGAGCAATGGAACCAAAAGCCACACTTCTGCTCTTATTAGCAGGGAATTTAGTCTCTCTTGCATAATATCTTGTAATTTTAGTCAAAAGTAATTTTCCTATTTGTCAAGAGAAACCCTGGGGTTTTCAATGTGAGTCATGGATTGGTGTTAATAGTATGTCAAAACATCCATTCTGAAATGTTAAAGTCACACAGACTGCAGAATGTGGCCACTAGAGGGAAGTACTAAAAGCAAAGCCACCGTCATACATCAATATATATATATATTTTTTTATATCAATCATATATTTTTTTATATAAATAATTCTAATTTTTTATATCGATAACTGAATTATTGATATAAAAAACTATATTTTAATGACCTTCATGGGGGCGGTATTACATTTGCATGTATTACATACAGTGTCTAGTGAAAGTCTAAACACCCCTTGGACAGTCTTCACATTTTGCTGCCTTAAAATTACATTTGATATTTTTCCTACTGATGTACACAACCTAGTCCACATTCTTTTTCCAATGTATAAAACCTGTAAAATGAAGATGTCTTGATTGCGTATGTATTCACACCAGAGTTAACCTTTGGCAGCCATTACAGCTGTGAATCATTTGGAATAAGATTCTACCAGCTTTACGCAACTCCTAGGGCAACATAGATCCATTGTTTTTGTCAACATTGCTCAAGCTCAGTACATTTGCTTGGGAATCATTGATGGACAGCAATACTCAATGTTTAAGTTGTCACTGATTTTCAAGCAGATTTAGGTCAAGACTGAGACTACTAGACCATTCAGGAACACTCAACACTTCATGGAAAGCCATTCTGGTGTGTCTTTGGCGTTAGAATTTGAGTAATTGTTCCACTGAAAAATAAAACTATCGCCAGGTTAGGTTTTCAGAAGACTATGGTGGGTTTTCCTTTAACTTTTGACCTGTCCTTTGCTCCTTTCATATTTCGTTTGATCCTAAAATACTCCCCAGTCCATGACGGTAACAAGCATACCCATAACATGATGCTGCCACCACAATACTCATCTTCTTCAAAATGATTCACACATGTAATGGCTGGCAATGGTGCTTTCACCAAGTATTAACTATGGGGTGTGAAGGCATACAGTACGTAATCAAGACATTTTCTTTTTTCTTTTCTATAATTTGTCTTTCATCGGTAGGAAAAAAATTATTTTATCAATTTTTAGATACAATTTTAGATACAGATTATGCTTAATTATGCTAAATATATGCTAATCTTCACATCATTTTTGATATCAATAATTGTATTTTTGATATCAATAATGACATTTTCAATATCAATAATTCAGATTATCACTATAATAATAATAATGTTAATAATTCAATAATTTGAGTGTTTTATATTGAAACAATTATTAGCAATATCAACAACAAAGAATATATCTATCATTCAAATTATTGATATCAATAATTAAATGTTTTATATAAATCATTTGAATGACTGATATAAAAAAAATAGCAATTATCAATATCAAAATCCAATGGGGAATTATTGATATAAAAAATTCATATTTGTATTTTTTTGCTATCTGTAATGCTTTTTTTTAATATAATTTTTTTGATTTATTGATATAGAAAATTCCATTATTTATATTTAGAAAAATACAAATATTTATATAAAAAAATTATATGAATATATGTTAAAACGGCTTTCCATAAGATCAAAGCCTATCATACAACAACACTGACCCTCAGACACCTGCTCCAGGATGTGGGTGACCTGCTCTGGCTGCAGGATGTGCTTGTTCAGATACTTGGTGAAGATCCCAGTGCTCTTCCCTCCATCCTGTACCTCATAAGCCTCTGCATCTTCACATCTGTTAAGACAGGTCATTTAGATTTCAGGCCATGAATGAACACTCATAAATCAATTGTTGTTACATTGAGTAAAAATACATACGTGGCATATCCATACACTGTGTTTCCCATGGGTACCAAGGGCCTTATTTCAGAAGCTATGCAATCTTGGTTGTACCTTAAAATACAAATATGCAACTTAACACCTGTTTTAGTCCTTCCACAATTGTAATACTCTTTGTACAAAAGTTGTACAAGAAGTAGAGCAACAAACAGTAACATGAGGTGTCCATCAGGGGCCTACCATGTTCTGCAGGTGTCTAGTAAGACCACACTCAATGCAGTCCGTCTCTCCTGCATCTTGCGCATGACCCTCTGTACACAGACACAGTTCTCTGGACAGTATGGTTGTGGAGCGTCTATGGCCACCAGATAGTTTCTCCCTAAACGTTCGTACCCATGACCAGCATAGTAGAACAGGGCTGTGGGGGACAGCATTATGTTAGTTGTATATTTTGTATGTTTTTCAGTTCTACACCAAAATAACTATTTAGTTATTTACCATTGATCGCTGTTAATTCATCAGATTAAAATCAAATTAGTGGCGAACACATGTTACATTGCGTGAACAGGAAAAGCAAAGTCTCTCATTGAGTAAATAAGAGTAAATTCAGAGCACAAGAAAAGTATACTCCAGTTCAGCGAGAGGTACAGATCTAATTTGGCATCTGTCAAACAAGGTTCCATGTTTCATTTTAGCAATCATATACTGTAGAATATCACACAACACTGACCCTGTCCTTTATCAACAAAATAGTATGTTGCTTATGCTCTATATATTATGTGTAGGGTTGCAAAGGGAGGGTATATTACTACCAGTAAACTACCAGAATGTTGGTATCCTTCAAGGATTTTATGTAATATATCACAAGACATCTAGTGGCCCTGTGTGGCCTTATCACATTATTTTTTAATTGTTTGTATTTCTTTATGATAAAGCTGTAAATCGTTATCCTAAATATAAACCATCAACTTAGTAAATACCATTGGGGTTTAATATGAAGGTTTCAGCATGAAATATCCTTTATTTATTTTTTCATACACTTGTATTTATTTTACTATGTCAGTATGTATTTGTTGTCGATGTTTCAGCGTCAAACTGGTGGCAGTTGTGAAAAAAGTCAATAGTTGAAAGAGTTAACTTAAAATAATGACATGGTTGATAAGATGCTTTTTTCATTAATTAGGGATTTTCTCTTGAACCATATGGTATATCTACTAGAAACTCATGGACAATATGGACACAGATATAAGAAAATTCATACTATGTATGAATACAACGTTTTTCAAGTATAAATTACCAAAGTTACAATAGATTGCCATATATTTTCTGTTAATTACCAAAATTACTGAAGATTCCAGTAACTTTGGTAAACTACCGGTAGCTTTGCATCGCTGTGCAGCTGAGTCGGGTAATTTCAGGTAGCATGTTTTGAATCTGTAAACTGTGCAGGTCCTAAAAACTCCTAAAAAAGCCAGGTCGCTACTTTTCAGATTGGTTTTCACATTAAGCTGACCTTGTTTTCTATAACAGCCAATCAACACACAAGCATGGATTATTAGATGAGACAGAAAATGTCAAACTCTTACAGATGTTTACATGCCACATAAAATGTAATGCGCGTATTTGACTCAAATATAAAAAGGTAGATAAGCTGACAGTTTGCTGGGTTGCTTAAGGCCCTTTACCGGCGCTAAATAAATCTGCCAAGTAGAAGTGCTACAGGCCTCAGAAACAGCTATACATAGCAAGGCATGTCGCTCCAAACACTACAGGCCCAAGCTTCTCCTTTCCGCCTCTTATCTGCCTGCTAAACCACACTCTCACACCAAGCTACTAATTAGATCTCTAAACAGCAGCATAAGATTATGACCTGTGACACCAGCTAGATCAACCGAAACGGGCAGAATAAGTGGGAACTTAACAAGACTACGATGTCTAGTTTCCGCTTAACAGATAAATATTTTTGTATGCATTTGCACCTTTTCGTCTAAGGCAGTTAATAGTGTCATCGTTAGTTTTCGAGTCTCTGAAAAACACTCAATTCAAAATACATTCTCCCTTGTAATGTAACCATCAGAATACTGTACAGTATTGAACTCACCATACACGCCCCTGTCAAGCAGGAGAAGGAACTTGTCAATGGCCGCCAGCATCTCCACCCTGGTGAGATCCAGTAGAGACACCACTCTGAAGCCCAGCTGCTGTAACAGGTTGGCCAGCTCATGGACATCCATAGTGGGGGCCATCAGGTCCGGGTGGTGGGAGTAGTTGAGGTTACCAATCAGCAGGGCCACTTTGTCAGTCGCTGGATGAAAAGACCATAGTGGAATTTGTAATCAGGGTCAACTTACTGTACTTTGAGAACAGCTAATTAATTATACTATAGAAAATGAAACCGCACATGTCAGGAAATACTGGTACAACAGTTCCCCACTTCAATGACATAATGCTCAAACCGCATTCTAAAAATACCTCAAGCGGATACTGTATTTCCACTGAGCCATACCTGTGAGTTGATTAGATGGCACTGAAAGAGATTGAAAAAATTATAAAAGACAAAGGTTAAAATCAGTGCATAACTTAACACTTCAATCTGTTAACACAACAAACAAGATCAAAAGCAATATGAGAGTGTAAAAGGCCTCCTAGTTTTCATTCAAACTGGTTGGGTCAAATTCGTAAAGATTTTGAAATATGAATGTTGTTGATGTGCCATAATGTAGAAAACATACAAATGTTAAAGGGGAACCTACATCCAAAGGCTAGTTCCCTGACCACTTTTTAGAGCCTGACAACTTCCTTCTAGTACAGTCTTTAACAAAGGGAAAGTACCTTAAATCGTCAGCGGAATGGAAAGACCCACTTGTGGGAGGGATGTGCAGAAATCTGAACATACCGCTCTTCCACTAGCTCAGTGAAAAGTGGATAATTACTTTCCAGTGAATTATGTGGTAGACTTTGTCAGGGAAAATATAAAATGCTAATAGTAAAGCTGAACACTTAAAATAACTGTTGCTAGTGCTTTGTCATGTGCTACTGTGAGGGTTTCATGTTCACTATTGCACATCTGTTTATAATTACAGAGCAGCATTCACAAAAGGAAGACTCAGCTATATGACATCATCACTCACAGTATGTTCACTTCATGTAAACATTATTTCCTTTTTGTTGCCCAGATGCCCTTCAAGCAGCATTCCACTTCCATTTACCTATATCAACATCAGCTGGCTCTGTCCATCTCTCTTCTTGAACATTGGACACATGGCAGAGATATGTTCCTCTATGGTCTGCCTCTGCATTCTCTATCTACAAGCGACAAACACATTCAGTTAAATATTAACTAAGTTATTCTAAATTACAATGTTTACATAGGACCAGAGGTATAGGGTAAACACAAGTAAACGCAGTTAACCCACTTTTTTTGCACGATAGTTGACCCACCTTTTTGGGGAAAATGCATTGAAAGTATAGGGAGCATTACTTTTTTCACCTCGACCAGAGTTTACCCACCAATTTCTTTACCACTACATCACTGCATAGGAGTGGTGAAGCATGGTTGGCTCAGCCAGCAAATGATATGACAGAGTAAACACGATGACCTCAGTGCAGGAGTAAATAAACACTGGTGTTACCTGCAGTGTGTCAGTGGTCTTGCCCAACAGAGGATGTCCATTTCTGTACCACTGGTAGTGAGGGGTGGGAATGCCAAAGGCAGTGCAGCAGAGGGTGAGTCTCTCCCCTTGTCTGACAGTCTGGGGTACAGGGTGTACAGCGATATGGGGCTCCCCTTGCCATGCTACTGGGAGACCTGAAGAAAAAAAGAAAGAGAAAATGCAATAGCAATACATTATAGGCAAAATGGTGCTCTACATTGATCAAATAAGTTTTAAACATCTGTACTACAAACATGTTATTATCATATAACTGGTAACTAATTTAGGGAATTCCTATACCTGGTTTAGCAATGTCCAGGACCTTTACTTTGACCCATTCACTGAACACACAGTTGCAGAACTGGTCATTCACGCGACAAATGTAGAGCTGAGACCTCTGGGCTGTGACAATCAGATCTGCTCTGGTCCCACCAAATACCTAAAAAACATTAACCATTTCATTGCATATATACTGTGTTACTCTATGAATTGACAACATAATACTGTGTCAGACAAGAATGACAAAAATCGTCAACAACCACAAACCTCCTCTTTATTAGACTTGAACCACTGGTAGTTCAGGATACCGGTTCCCTCTGCTCTCACACTCAGAGTCACCTTATAGTTCAGTGGTACACACACAGAAACAGGATGCTGCACAATGACGATGTCTGAAAGTGTAAATTGATAAAGTGATAAGTGATTAAAGGGCCTATAACAAAGCCTCACCCCACCTCTGTGTTGGTAAAAACCTGAGGGATGGGCCATAGACAGAGCTATGGATGCAAGGGCTTACCATCCATGATATCACAATTATTATTTTTAGGCTATACAGTGTTTGTTTACATTTACAATGTTTTACAAACATTGGAGTAAAACAAGCTTATATTTGGGTTCTGATGGGGTGTGACAGTTGAACTAAGCTCATTAAGTTATATTCTTCAAGAATCAATATGTATACATCATTAATTTATAAGTCCAAAAATATATGTCACAACTACAGATTGCCCCTTTAAGTTAGGTTAAGTTATATAACAGAATATTATGTTTCGTTATTCAAAATAATGTTTTCAGTGTACTGATCAAATGGAACATTGTTGACTTGCACAATAAATGGGGGAAATACACACCTCTGATCATGTTTTTCATCACTTCAATGTGAAATAGGAGCTTCTGAACCTCAAATATGATCTGTTCTGGTCATTACGGCACTGTGCTACCTAATAAGCAAAATACAGAATATGAGCATCAGTTGTGCCGGAGGTGAGTGAACGGGGTATCAACTAACACAAGTCAAGATACAGCCAAAAATCACAGGAACATGTCATGGAGATTATGTCTGATAAGGGCCTCATGGAACAAATGTGCATAGGCAAGTGTGACTAGTAGATTCTCTCCCCACTTCCCATTTCACAACTGCACATGTGACAAACACCATAACACAAGAAACAATTGATCTATTTCAAGAGAAATTGAGACTGGTAGGTAGGTTAGCATATTTGCAACAATCTGTGCTTTAATAAAAGGTCAGCCAAACTGGATATTTGTTCATCAACATCTTCCTGAAAATGGCTTACTACAGAGTAGTAGCAATTATAGGCTACTATCAATATGCTGTACATTTGGAAGTTTATCAATGGCTGTAAATTAAGGGCCAAATAATGTCCTTTATAGTCTACAGCTCAAATTGTGACTATCAATGATATGGTCTCTAACTAGACCAATAAGATGAATAGCCTATAAATGTCACGAGCAGGGTTGCCATGTCTGCCGTTTTCCAGAAAATGTAGTTAATTTGAAAAAGATGTCGAGGGTGAAAATGTATTGGTACCAGGTTTTTGGGCTACTTCTAAATTGAGCCATGGCATTTCTCAACAAATAAAAGTACATATATTTCACTGTGACCTGCTGCTGCTGACTATCAGGCAGTGAGGCAGGCTGTTGATGAGTGTGTGAGTGGTGGGGAGGGGGGAAGGTCGGAGGTGTGTGTGTGTGTGTGTGTGTGTGTGTGTGTGTGTGTGTGTGTGTGTGTTGAGAGAGCACTGCAGCAGGCAGTTGAGGAGCCTGAGCAGAATGCGCGCACATCGTGACAACTTTTTACCAGTTGTAGGTAGGCTATTGTCATTATGGAGACACGTATTTCCAACCCTTTTTCCATAAAACATATTAATGCGCAAGAACTGATGCACATCAAGAAATAATTGCGACAAAGCACTGGAAAACGACTTTAGGCGCACTAGTGTGCATTACATAAATTCGCTCAGAGGTGCTTTAAACTGCATGCTATGTCGACTTTGCTTATGGAAAACCGGATCAAGCGAAGGGTTTTACGCATGCTCAGTTATTGGGTGTAGAGCGCTGCGCATGTGGAAATTTCAAATGGAAATTTTGGAACTCCCTTGCATTCTTCTGTTATGGGAAAATGTCCACAATGAAACTGACAATAAATGTGGAGAATGATACACTTGCATCTGTTGGCCATCAAGTAGCCTATTAATGTCTATGCCATTGTAGGCTACTTGCCTACCAATAAATATGCTGAAATGACGATATCAATGGAGTAATTGCAAATCATTTTGTGCCACTTGTGTTGCCTACCTGGAGCTGGTAAATGGATTTAATAAGTAGCCTATAACTTCTGTTTATTGTTGTTGTAGCCTTGTGTTATTATGCAATTATTAATGTCTATGTTTAGGTAATTCAATTGGAAGTTATCAATTGTGATCATGGTCACAGCTCTATCTAAACAATTTTTTTTGCCATTCAGCTGTTGTTAGAATCCATTAGATTGACGGTAACATTCAATCAGATTAGGCTACAGGTAAAAAATTGAAACCGCTGGCTGTTACTGACAAGCATATTCAGTTCATATCGATATTATTCATATTTGATTTAGTGATTGAAATGAAGACCCCTATCCTCAGTAGCCTATTCCAGTAGGCTATTGGGCAACACAATCACTTCTTACCTCAAAATCGCCTCACTATTCAAGTTGAAAGGCTGCTCATGGCTCACATCAACACCATCATCCCGGAAACCCTAGACCCACTCCAATTCGCATACCGCCCCAACAGATCCACACATGATCCAATCTCAATTGCACTCCACACTGCCCTTTCCCACCTGGACAAAAGGAACACCGATGTGAGAATGCTGTTCATTGACTACAGCTCAGCGTTCAACACCATACTGCCCACAAAGCTCATCACTAAGCTAAGGACCCTGGGACTAAACACCTCCCTCTGCAACTGGATCCTGTACTTCCTGAAATGCTTACTTATTATAAACTGGTTACCAACGTAATTAGAGCAGTAAAAATACATGTTTTGTCATACACATGGTATATGGTCTGATAGATCACGGCTGTCAGCCAATCAGCATTCAGGGCTCAAACGACCCAGTTTAGAATTACAATTACCTCGGGGTTTGTGGTACATGGCCAATATACCACGACTAAGGGCTGTATCAAGGCATCCGTGTTGCATTGTGCATAAGAACAGCCCTTAGCATGGTATATTGGCCATATACAACACCCCCTCAGGCCTTATTGCTTATTCATAGCAGTCAAACCAGTTAAATGGACATCCATCCATTGATGGATGGAAAATGATCTGGTGAGTTTAATAAAGGCGAATTATCTTTTCTCTTGCGACATATTCAAATTCCTTTAGTCACGTTAGCTTCAATAATTATTATTTTGATGGAAAACTATATTTTGCTTCTTGTCGTTACAAGTTAAGTCGATATTCCGTCTTAATTCGCTCGATAATGTTATGGAAAAGGGGCTTATTGGATAAATATGGAAACTCCTCTCTTGCTGCACGAAAACATATTTTGGCCTAGTTTTCAGGCCTTGTGGGCAGTTTTGAGTCGTCTTTGTTTAAAATGTAAGCTAGACCTGGCAACCCTGGTCAAGAGAATCACAACACATTCCTGTTTGCACACTCAGCCCATATGTTTTGTGTTATGGTGTATCAGCTCTTGAAAAGCAAGAAAATACATATATGTTATAAAATCATGAGTGCATTGATAATATATTACTGAATTATTGTCATAGACAATAAAAAAAATCAACAAGGCCTATGTTAATTGTTGTAATTGTGAGAGGTATGCTTACATTAAATTAAAGTCAAACAGGCATATAGTATGGTATTGAAAAATGTATCAACACATTTCTATTGCTAGAGAGGGTTATTGTGTAGGCTACCTGTATGTTTTGTACATACCTGAACTCCGACCAAACACCATGTAAATGCCACACTGTCTGTAACAGCATTCATCCGATGGCTTTAAACAAACTTGAGTAGAGAATGTAAGATGCCTTAACAAACAAGAGTAGAGAATGTAACTCCTCTTGAAAATTCTCAGAACTTTATTTCAATAAAAAACAGGACATCCTTTTCCCGGAACAATGATACCCACCCATTACCGTACTGTATGTAGCATATGAGGCCGTCTCTTTTTGGATAACCTTCCACAAAATGTTTGAATTGGAAAATACAGAATTGACTCCCGGCCACATTTTATACATTCACATACGCGTATAGCTAATGAAATATTTTATTAAAGGCAAAATACTATCGTAATTAAATTAGCGGAAATAATTATCCAAAACAAGATCCATCCACAATGACGTGTGGACCAAAATAGCCTAGCACAGACATTAAGGTATTGCAAGTTGCTCTCTTTTTTTGTTTGTTATTTTTTTGTTGTTGCACAAAACACCAACATATACATACAGGACGTATACAAACAAACAAACAAACAAACAAACAGGAACAACATATACGTTATATGCTAGGGGATACAAATAATTACAGATTAGGCTATACACAGTGGTGGAAAAAAGTACCTAAATGTCATACTTGAGTAAAAGTAAAGATACCTTAATAGAAAATGACTCAAGTAAAAGTGAAAGTCACCCAGTAAAATACTACTTGAGTAAAAGTCTGAAAGTATTTGGTTGTAAATATACTTAAGTATCAAAAGTAAATGTAATTACTAAAATATACTTAAGTATCAAAAGTAAATGTAAAACTATAAATCATTTAAAATTCCTCAAATTAAGCAAACCAGAAGGCACAATTGTCTTGTTTTTTTTAATTTATGGATAGCCAGGGGCATACTCCAACACTCGGACATAATTTACAAACGAAGCATTTGTGTTTAGTGAGTCCGCCAGATCAGAGGCAGTAGGGATGACATCTTGATATGTGTGTGAATTGGACCATTTTCTGTCCTGCTAAGCATATAAAATGTAACAAGTACTTTTGGGTGTCAGGGAAAATGTATGCAGTAAAAAGTACATTATTTTCTTTAAGAATGTAGTGAAATAAAAGTAAAAGTTGTCAAAAAATATAAATAGTAAAGTAAAGTACAGATACCCCCCAAAAAACTACTTAAGTAATACTTTAAAGTATTTTTACTTAAGTACTTTACAGCACTGGCTATACAAATGCCTTAAAATACACATAGACTGTTTTTACAGCTTTCTTATTAAAATAATCTAGAATGATCTTAATGTACTGCTCCAACTCCTTATAGAAAACAAACAATAGTGTTTTTTATTAGTGAATTTACATTTATGAATATTACTTTTTGCCATTAGCACACTTACA